ATTGTCTTTTTGTGCTGCCATTTTGGCCAGGACGCCCTGGAAGAAGAGATTTGCATCTCAATGAGACTATCCTGGTAAAATAAAGGATAAATAAATACAAAATAATAATAATCACCTAAAAAAATAAAAAAATAAAATAAATAAATAATATATATATATTTTTAAATATAGACGCAAGATTAACTCAATCACTAAACAAATATTATAAACTGCTTTAGACTGCTGCATATTTCCTGTGCATTTCAATACTGGTCTGCGCTTGACAGTAGTCGCGTTTGTCTGCTTTATTTAACTAGGGTAACTAGTCAGATGTTGTTCTAAAGGCTTATTAGGCCTACCTTCTTTTTTTTCGAAACACACACACAAAAATGTCCTGCTGGCTTACCCATTTAATGGCAGAGAATGGTGACTTTCACTTTTCATTCTTTAAGCGGATGCAAATCTGTCATAAAATAATCATATGCATCTCATGGCGTAGGCTATATTCCAAACGTTCTGAAGGTATACTGTAAGGTTTGGTGAGAAGCAAACCAAAATGGCAAGTAATTACATTTATGTAAATCTTGTGTTGCATTGTGTGAGAGTGCACAGGAGCTCGCGCCGCGCAGAAGTGCATGTTCTTTTGAGATATCAATCATTTTTAATTTTAATAAAACAAAAGGCACCACGCACAAGTGCATGTTCTTTTGAGATATCAATCATTTTTAATTTTAATAAAACAAAAGACTACATTATAAAACTCAGAAGAGTATGTATTTTAATATCTCTGTTGTCGGTCAGAATGATAGTTCCTGTGTGAACGTTATAGGCCTATTGTGCAGTCTCAATAATCTGGAGCTTAACATGCTCAAAACAGTGGAGATGATAGTGGACTTCAGGAGAAACCCCCCTGCTCTCCCCCCACTCACCATCATGGACAGCACTGTAACAACAGTGGAGTCATTCAGGTTCCTGGGCACCACAATCTCTCAGGACCTAAAACATACCTGGCAATAAAGCTCATTCTGATTCTGATTCTGATATAGCCTACCCAGAGCTTGGTAGTAACTGATTACGTGTAATCGGGATTAGGCTACATAATCAGATTCCAAAAATTAAGCACTTGTAATTAGAGTAAATTACATTTTAAAATACTCTTAATCAGACTACAATTACTTTTTTATAGATTACATGATTACATATTATTCACACAATATAAATAAATTATTCATCATTTATTGATTCTCTCTAAATCCTCTTTTTTTATCTTTTAAATGTTCCTTTCTAAAATAGTCTACCGCTTATATACACTCAGAAAGTTTTCCAGTTTTGTGGACATTCGGACAGAGATCAGTCATTAGTCCGGTTGCTACACAGCATTTGACCAATGGATTTACAAAAATCATTTCAGGTTTAGGAAGTGTTTCAACATTGCATCAACTACTGATGAACGCATTCATTTTTATTTGAATGATCACTCAGTAGGTTATTTAACCATGTATTATTATGTATTATTTAAAGGCTTTTGTCTTTCAAACTCATTAAAATGCACAAATTCTCGTTTTCTTCTTATTTGCAGACATTCTCAAACTCTTTGTCCTCTGAACCTCTTTCACCTAACATATTTACTTTAAAGGGGTGGTTAATCAGCAATTCTGTAAAACTTTGAGCATCGTAACTTTGCAGATGTTTTTTTATGCTCAAAGAGCAACATTACACACTAAAGTTAAAAAAGTGAAATCATAATCAATGATCCTTTAAGTACCCCTGAGATTTTAAAATAAATATTTTAATAATTAAGTATCACATTTGCATGTTAATGGTTCTCTGACATTGGTGAATGGTCATATGGCGTGAAGGTAAACATAAAATATTTCATCTTTTTTTTAGTAAGTGTATGATTTATTTTAATTTTACATTTTTATGATTTAATTTTGTTAGCCTTTCATTAAACACACACCCCCTGCAGTTCCTTTACGAACCCCAATTTGGGAAACCCTGACGTAATATAATGTTTAATGCACTTCATGTTGTTAATTACAATGAAAGGAATATATTTTCTCACTATTTGTATTTTTACATCATTATGGTACATGATTATCCTGTTTAAATCAATGTGATAAACGAGTTAGGTCAAAAGTAATCTAAAAGTAATCTGACTATATCACCTAAAATGTGTAATATAATGGATTACGTTACTGATTACATTTTTTGTCATGTAATTTGGAATCAGTAACGGATTACAATTTGTAAGTAATCTACCCAGCTCTGTACATACCCAAGCCAAAGCATTATTCTTTCCTTTTTGTATCAGTGTTTAAAATATATTATTATTTTGAAACAAATTAATTAATTACTTAATTAAACAAACAAACTTACTGGGGGACCAGGGTAGGCTATGACGGTCGCCATGATTTTGCCAAATAAGACATGTTCCTGGATCAACATCTTTTGTTGATCCTGGATCAACATTACTGTCCAAAAATATAGACAAAACCCAATCCCTACCCCTGAACCTAACCCTACCCATAATTTATTCCTAAAACCAGTGTGAAATGATAGTTGATTAACAAGGGTGTAGAAGCACCTAACCCTGATTGTAAGCCTAAAACAGACATTTCCTAAAAAGTTATCCCTCAATTCTGATTGGTTAATTGGAATGTTGTTCCAGGATCAACAAGGATGTTGATCCAGGAACATGTTGTACTTGGTGAAATCACGGTCACCAGGCTATGACAGCTATCATATCATACCCTGGCATGCCCAGCTGATGCAAAGCATAGAATTTATATCTAGACAGAAGAAAGCCCTGTCTAGGCTGTGCCACAGAACGGGTTGTGTCGAGCCATTCATTTGTCTGGTTGTTTGATCAGAAAAAGATTAAATGTAGTTGCAATAAAACTGTTTAAAGGGGTCATATGATGCGATTTCAAGTTTTCCTTTCTCTTTGGAGTGTTACAAGCTGATTGTGCATAGATAAGATCCCTGAAGTTGCAAAGACTAAAGTCTCAAAACCAAAGAGATATTCTTTATCAAAGTTAAGACTCTGCCACGCCCCCCTAAAACAGCTCATTCAGACACGCCCCCACATATCTCCCTCACTATGTGGAAATATTTGCATAATGCGGCCCAAATGTGCACGCAAAGAAAGAAGGCGTGGTTTCAGTAACCGCAGTTAGTGTAGAAGCAGCCATGTCAAGGAGACGCTGTGTGTTTCTAGGCGAAAGCAAAAGCACTTTATTTGGCCTTCCGAAAGTAGATGCATTTAGGAATCTTTAAGATTACTTACAACAGAACAGCAATGCATTTTATGGACGACCGTTCGTGAACCTAGGAGAGGAGGTAATTCTGACTTTGCTATGACAATCTGGCACTTCTGAATCAGCTACTGTAAGTATGTTTTGTTATTAGTTTAAGTATTTGCAATTGACTGTTCAAAT